ATAGTAATAGAAAAGAGTAAAAATAAATATAGGCGAAAAGAGGGATGAAAGGAGGTAATAAAATTGACGACAAACAATGCGCATTTCTGTTGGCCGTTTATTCATCGGTGCTCTGAAATGCGGTATCGTTTTAGAGCAGTGTTTTCTTAGGCAACAAGTTCCTACCTTCTATCGATTACTCCGAACTTATTATCTAAATAATGAATAAGCCGTGTCTGTTTACTGTACACCGAAAATAGCTGCAACATGAAAATTTTTTTGTTAGCGTTGTGTACGATCATGTCGGTAATTCGGAGAGGAAGCGGAAGGAGGGATCGAAGAAAGGGTGTCGAAGTGCGGTGAATTCTCCCTAATTGACGCTCAGCTTTTGGAGACAAAAATGGACAATTTGGGAAGAGGTACGATTATTCGAGCCTTGCGTCGAATTTTTATAGTTACCGATCGCTGACAACAATGAAAACGAGCCGCGAGGCTCGGATAATCGTGTCTCATCTTCCCAAGTTGTCCATTTCTGCGCGCAGTCCGAGCCGACGCTCGGATTCCCTAATTGACATTAGGGAGAATTTGCTATAAATCGCGGGCGGAGGAGGTTATTGCCGACATTTTCGGAGCAGGAAGACATGTCCGATAACTCTGAAGCGTGACAACAAGAGCACGTTGCTCAACGACGAAGGCCAGCCCGTCGGTCAAATGTATCCTTGCATATTATCACGTGCAATCAATGCAAATTGTTATGCGTGGAACAACATTCTAAGCGCGTGTCGAAAAATAAGTATTAGAAGAGAGGAACGGTGGAACTTCTAAACAAATAATCGCCACTTTCTCGAGCATCCGCGAGGAACGAGAAACATCTTCGAACAGCCGGACCATTAAAAATTCAAAATCACGATCAAACAATCTCGCGGGTCCGTATTTTAACGATTCTCTGCTCGCTGAAATTTTACATATTTTCACACGTTGTTGACGACGTTCTGTTCGACACGAAACGACGTTCCGAATACGTACATCGAAATTCGCACGATTTTTCGCCGATTTTTTCCAGCGGAATCGGCAATTGCCGGAGTCGGCGGAATTTCGGAAAACGAACAAACGGCCGCGTTGACGGAAGAAAGCGAGGAACGTGTTATGGATTGCCGGCCACGTGCGCCGCCTCCCATTGTTTCCGCACAAAGGCAACACGGATTTACACGGTTCTAGAAAATCAATAACGAAACAGCGACGGTCCCGATCGAAGGATGCATCTGCCATTGCCACGCATCCGACACGTCCATGCAAATTCTACCTGCCCCGCGATTCGTTTTCTATGCAAGACGGTGCACCGCGCCGCATTCCGTTCTGTTGCTTGCTCGACATTGTCATTCATCACAATCAGATCTGTTGCGCATCGGAAATCGATGATCTCGATCGAGAACTCTTTCATCCTCCGTTCCAACGGTTTCTCGGACAAAGGATCTGCTCGACCGGCTCTCGCAGCGCCTTCGGAATTCTTTAAAAAATCTCGAAAAAATCTCTAAAGAGCTTCTAAAAATTTCTAAAAATTTCCGAAAAATTTCTAGAGAATTTCTAAAATATTTCTTCATTTTGCCACTGGATCTTTTTCTCCCTGTACATTGGAATCGCTCGCGCCGCGAGGGGTGAGCGAATTTTCGCGGCGTCGATACGGGGCGCCGTGGAAATCGCTACGCCGCTGGGGCCATACACTCTCATTCACTACGGCGCAGTGTGTTCGCTCGCGTGTGAAGCCCGTATACGTAGATGCACACGATCGTACACGATCGCGAGCAACATGAATGCGCGACCTTGTGTGCGCAACAGGCGTCAGGATCCAAGTAGAGTCCATAAAGATTGTGCGATGAAGTGTACAAGTGGTGTCCCTACTACGGTAGAGACGGCCAGTTTTTGCGACAGTGGCGTAATTACCCGCGTGGATCCTCGCTTCTTTTTTTTTTTGCTCTCCGCCGCGCTCGAATGTTTTATTAATCGCGGCCACGTTGGTACGCCGTTCCGGACCGGAAAATTCGTCGGAATTTCCACAGAGTTTCCACAACCGCGCCGCAAAATAAGTAGTTTACGCCTCTACCGACATTTTGATTCCTGGCGCGAATTTTTGTTGGCACGAACGCTGATCGGTTATGCTCGCGTGCACGTCCTTTATTCTCGAACAATAATTTTTTAACGACAGACGCGTCTTTTTTAGCATGTTCTCCGTATTATTGAAACGAAAAAACTGCCCTATTTGACACTAGATTTAGGAATCCTGTCAAAATGACGGATAACTAATTAATCATTAACTAAAGAATCACTAATTTTTTAATTTACGATTATTCATATCGTAAAGATACAGTTACGAGTTATTTATTCAATTGATATGTTACTTACGGTAAATGTTACGATAATGCTTGTTCAAAATCAGAATAAATGTCTTATTGTTACTTCTATAAAGTAATATGAAACAGCTGTTTTTTTGTGCACCGTAAATCTAGTGTTAAATAGCGCGCAATTCAACGAGCAGACTAGCGCGTAGTAAATGTTAAAAAAAACTGTCGTTTTTGCTGGAGCGTAATAAAATTTTTAGGAGGATAAAGAAGTTTATCTCCGATTTCGCTTTCTACAAATCGAAATTTAATGACCGTTTAATTTAGAAACCAGCAACGTGTTGTCGAACCACGTTTCAACGTCGTCTCCCACGGTAAATAATTCAAACCCCATCCATCCCTTATGCCGGCTTGACTCGTTCCTCGTGTACAGTACGATGCACGCAAGAAATAATGGCGTTATACTAGCATTTGAATGAAAGCAAATTTTTCAGTATGATTTGTAATCAGAGTTGGCGGAAATTTCATTCGGATGACGGACAAGAGAAAAGATTAACGAATAGAATTTTATTCGACATTGTCGAGAAGTAAAGAGGGGTGAGACGACGTTTGGGAGTGTAATAATAATAACAATAATAATAGTAATAATAATAATAATAATGATAATAAAAGTAATAATAATAATAATATTTATTTGATCAACGAGAGCAGGACTCTGTTGCATAAGTATAACATTAGTAGTAAATTGAAAGAAATAAAGAGAAAAGAAAACAGAGAAAAACAGTAAAAGAAATAATAGAATTGATGATACAAAAAAAAAGATAACGTTAGTCGTTAATTGAGGAAAGAAGACTGAAATCTTACAAAATTATACATTCCATACAAACCGGTCTCGCTGATGCAAAAACAGATTGTCCCGATTTAGAGAGAACCAAAAGGCAAGCAAACGAGGATCATCTCAAAATCTCGATTCCTATTTTTATGTATATATAGTTTATATTAGATCTACCGGGAAGTTCTGTCCGTTTAAGAAATGAAAGGAAATAATAGATTTTTCATAAATTTAGTAATATTTATTGTACAATATAAATTCCGTCGTTACTTATGGCCTCTTGCCAGCGTGATAGCAATTTGTGAGCAACATTTTTCAAAAATATATGTCTCAAATGAACATGTGCGTACCTATCGAAATTTGCAATGACATTATCAGATAGAACTTTCCGGTAGACCTAATATATAGTAATTTATAGTATATAGTTTGATTTACGTTTACCAAGTTTTATTTACATGCAGATGCTAATAACATTTTATTATAATAAAACTTGATTACAAAAACACAACTCGAATTAACAAAAAGTAAATCAGACTCCAAAGTATTAAGAGGGATCCACGGCCCTACGATCAAACATCGAATAAAAACACCAGAATCGAAGGTGCCCGAAGCGAAGAGCGCACCGGTAGCCCGAGCGCAAAGCGCCCCCGGTGCGTCCGGCCCTGGGTTGCAGTTGTGTCGGGCTCTTATAAAGGGAACCCACGCGAGAGCGCGGGCCGCATACCACGGCAGCGCGTCGTTCGGAGCTGTAGGTGAGGATCTACCGCGTGATCTAGCGAAAATCCGTGCACGCGCTGACAGAATCTGTTTTTCTGCGCGGCGGGAACAGTGCTGCTGGGTGTCGTTGCGTCGTTCGATTGTGACGCGATGCTGATCGTCTGTGAGGACAGGCTTGTGATCGGTCAACACGTCGTCGAAGTGTGTCGTCGTCGTCGTCGTCGGTGAAGGAAATTGGCGAGAGCCAGCCTATCCGGCGGGTTCGCGTGTTTACGTTGTCGCGGCCTGTGGTCATGGAGACGGTCTGACGTTGTTGCGCGAACACGAAACCACGAAGAAACCAGCCAGCCAGCCAGTCAGCCAACGAGCAAGCGAGCGTGTTCCGAGTTCCGGCAAGCCGAGAACCGGCTTCCCTCAGTCGTCGCCTCGTCTCGGATCGGCGCGGAAGCCGACCGGGCCCTACGATCCACCGCGCAGCCGGCCCGAAAACACGATCGACGGGTGCGTCTGGTGTGTTCCCAAGCGAGGACCGATCGACAGGTGACAACGCCTCGCTCTGCCGGACGTTCCACCGCGGTGAAAGTTACCCGAGACACTTCCTACGATTTCATTCCGTGCCGATCCAACGGCGAACGTCGCGCCATTATTCCGCGATTCTTCCGACATTATTCTAAGATCATTCCGAGATCATCGTCGGATCGTCCCGAGATTATCCGCAGAGATTATTCCGAGATTATTCGGAGATTATTCGGAGATTATTCGGAGATTATTCCGCGGTCGTTCTCTCCGATTGTCCGGCGATCGTCTCGAAGATCGGCTGCCATTGAACGTCCGGTCGGATCGCGCCGAGGTTTACGATCCCTTCGATGTTTACCGTTAACCGTCGGCTTCACCGTTTCCCGAGCCGACTTCCCGCCGCTATCGCTACCGTTCCGCGATTTCACTGACGAGACAGCCGGTCGATTGTTCGCACGGTTTTCTGGCCGCGGGGCGCACGCGACAAACCGCGTCCGCGCCTCTCGCGTTCCCCGCGACCGCATAAATTCCACGCGAAATGTGCACCCGGCGCGCGCCGCGCGGCCACGCGATACCGCGAAATTGCAACGACAACGGCCGCTTTTATTAATAGTGCAGCCTAGTTACCGATCGTCCGCGGGCTCCTTCTAACGTGACAGATAAGCCTCGCGATAGAGGATCGAGGAATATATACGGTCTCCGCGTGTCTCGAGGCGGAATTGTTGCTTCTTTTTCTTTTTGGAGAAGCGATGTTTGTTTTTTGGAGCGAGAAAGGTGTCTTTCCGATCCGAGTTTGGCGCTGTTGACATTAGGGTGACGGGATTCGACGAAATGACGGGTCACTGATTTTTTAATTCGCGACTGTTCGGATTGCAAGGGCGCATTGACGAGTTGTTTGTTCGATATTTATTATATATCATTATATTTATTAATATATTTATTATTATTGTATTATTATTTTATTATTATATTATTATTATTCAGTTATTTATTCTATAAGTGTCTTGCTCGCGGCAAATATTGCGATAACGCTCGTCAAAAATCAGAACGTCTTATCGTTGCTGTTACGAACTAATAGAAAACAGCCGCTTTCGGTGCTCCGTAAATCCGGTATTAATGAATTTTAAATGGCTTCGAAATCCTGTCGGATAGAAAAAATCTCGGTGAATCGTTCTGCAGGCGATTCGATGAAAAGCTACGGCGCTGGAAGATTTTCCCGTTGAAATCGTGACGAGTTTGCGCCGCTTGAACACACAAATCTCATTCCAAATATTGCGACAAAGATTACGCGTCGTCCCGCAAGAGCGCGACAACAATCTTCTCGCACCTGCGGAATTTCGAGCAGGGAATCGTGATCGTTCGATCGGACTCTTGTGCGCGAACGAATCGATCGTGGAACGCGAGTATCGGCGCATTCCCGGGGAAGAACGAACGCGCGGAACGCGGGCCGTTAAAGGAGCATCCGAAGAATTTCAAGATCCTGTACCAGCCTACCGAGGCTTTTTGCAAACGGAACACTTTCTAATTAACTCTCATTTCGTGCAATCGACATTAGACGGTTTCTATTCTGCATGAAGAGCAGCCCGGCCATTGCGCTTCTGTATTTCAGCTTTCAGTGTGTCGGTATGTCCGAGAATGTAAAAGAAATTCGCGAGACTTGCGAGCACAGTGTCGAACTTTGCTATCCTTTCTCGGTTAAATTGTTCTAACATTTCTGATCGAGCAAAAATTGAAGATCTGAATTAGCAAAATCATTTCAAAATAAATGAAATTGTATTTGGAACTCCATGAAGTATACAGAATATTCTAGCTTCGCTTAAAAGCAAGCAATTAAGTACTCTTGCTACAAAATGTCGACAATAAGTGTTGCTTTTATTGTATTAATTAAATATATACTTTTCTCGATTACTTAAACGTTACATTAAATATTAAAAGTAAGTAATTATAAATAAACAGAAATAAATGAAATTGCATTTAGAACTCTACGAAGGATACAGAATAGTCAAGCTTCGCTTAAAAGCAAGCAATTAAGCACTCTTGCTACAAAATATCAAAAATAAGTGTTGCTTTTATCGTATTAATTAAATATATACTTCTCGATTACTTAAATGTCAAATTAAATATTAAAAGTAAGTAATTATAAATAGACAGAAATAAATGAAATTGCATTTGGAACTCTATAAAGCGTACAGAATATTCTAGCTTCGCTTAAAAGCAAGCAATTAAGTACTCTTTCTACAAAATATCAAAAAAATAAGTGTTACTTTTATTGTATTAATTAAATATACACACCTCGATTACCTAAACGTTACATTAAATAATAAAAGTAAGTAATTTTTACTAAAAGCAAAAGACACGCGACGTTCCGAGTATCGTGGAATCTCCCAAAAACTAGCAAGGAAAGAAATGTCTCATATAAAATCTTAATTAAAACATCAACCAAGAACGCGACAGTATTTCCTGTCACTCATGCATGACGACCCTAAACCGCCGCGAAGATCCACGGGACGCTCGCGACGGCTATTTCAAGCTTCCACGCGAAATCTGCCAAGTTTTACGATCGCACCTGACGTAATCGATATTATTTTCTGTTCCCGCAGAGACCGCCGCGTTCGTAACATGGTATAATCGCCGTTATCGGCGCGATCGGCCGTGATCGATAAGCACCGGACGGATCGTCGTAAGGTGACCCCGAGAGAAAGAAGAGAAAAAAAAGAAGAAGAAAAAACCGGCGGACGAAGATCGAAGAGGATGGCGCTGGCGCGGATCAAGAGTTTCATCGACACGGGATTGAAGACGGTGTCGACGCCGTTGGACCGCACCGTCAGCCTGGAGCCGGAAGTCGGCATTAGGATCGTTCATTCGAGCAACGACAGAGCGCTGCACGTGACGGTGCTCGGTGCCCGACACTTGCCGCAGAATTTCGGGTTCACGCGCGTCAACAGCTACGTCGTCAAGGTACGCGTGTTGTCGTCCGTTGTCAGATAACCGGTGGAGCCCGTTCCCGTGCGCGATATTTCGCATCGTTATCTCTCCGCGGCTGGTTGCGCAACAAGCTGCAGGCAACGATCGCGCGCGAACCGCCACTTTAGCCTCTATTGACCGGCGAATCTTCGTAGACAATGCACGGGAGAGGCGCGTGTGTGAACCGCTGCCGCCGGGTACCCCTTATCGTCCCAGTTCGTCTCTTTCTCTCTCTGCCCCCCTCGTCACGATTAATTACGCCGATTAAAATTAGATTGAATTCGTTAGGGTCCGAATTATCTCCCTGGCTCTCCGTGGTTTGCCGGAGGCGGAAGATAATTCGATGGAGAAATGAATGAACTTCGACGCTGGCTCCGATGCGAAACGATTCGTAGCTAAATAGATAGACGATCCTTTGTTGGCGATGATCTGCCGGACACCTCGTACATTGGATAAGTAAGAGAGTAGTGGATCGTGAGTCATTCGTGCTGGCCGCGCCGCGAATCGAGGAAGATGGGAGACACGCCCGAAATGAGTTAATCGGGAGGCTACTTTTATTGCTCGGCTCGCTTCTTTCGAGCCTCGAGAAAGTTTCGCCAGTCGATAAGTTTGTACTGGAACTATGTTTGTTCGGATGGAATTCGTCGAAAATGGCGCGTGGAAGCGCGGAAGAAACGATCGGCGATTAATTGATTTTGTGCGACGGTGTTGCAACTGGTCGCGAATTCTTTCGGAACGAAATTATCTGCCGAACGTGGAGCTATACAAGAGAACTATAGAAAGAACCAGGTGCTGCTGCGTTTAATGACAATTTGCTAATGACGTTCGCTCGCGAATTAGCGGAACTCCGAAGAACCAGAAGAATTTTCTTCGGAAATGCAGTAATTTCTCCCTAATTCGCGCTCAGATTGCGCTCAAAAGTGGACAATTTGGGAAGAGGAGATAGTTTTAGACTTGTTGACAATCGGCAATTTGTTGTATGTGTGCTTCTCCTTTTTGGGAAACGATGAGAGCTGTCTGCAAAATTTTCATTTTTATAGATTTATACCGAGGCATCGGACTGCTTCTTTTTCTGGGGGAATAATCATTGTCCGAACCTCTTTGCAAAGGGTTATTTCTTGATTATTATATTCTGACGTTTTCCTGGACAACGTTAAAGAAAGCAAGAAATGTTTATTTCTTAACTGTTGCGCTCAAATATCTTGTTTCTCCTTGTTGTAAAAAGTGTGTTACTGCCAAAAATACAGTAATTTCTCCCTAATTCGCGTTCAGATTCCGCTCAAAAGTGGACAATTTGGGAAGAGGAGATAGTTTTATACTTCTTAACAATCGGCAATTTATCGTATGTGTGCTTCTCCTTTTTGGGAAACGATAGCTGTCTGCAAAATTTTTATTTTTATAGATTTATACCGAGACATCGAAGTGCTTCCTTTTATGGGGGAATAATCATTGTCCGAACCTCTTTGCAAAGGGTTATTTCTCGATTATTATATTCTGACGTTTTCCTGGCCAACGTTAAAGAAGGCAACAAATTTTTATTTCTTAACTTTTGCGCTCAAACATCTTGTTTCTCCTTGTTGTAAAGGACGAAGGCAAAGGTGAAGGCAATTTAAAAAATGTGTTACTACCAAAAATAACTACAGTAATTTCTCCCTAATTCGCGTTCAGATTGCGCACAAAAATGAATAATTTGGGAAGAGGAGACGCGATTATTCGAGCCTCGTGTTCCGTTTTTATAGTTATTGACAATCGGAGCGCAAGTTAAGGAGAAATTACTATAGTTCGAAGGGGAGATAAGCTTGCGCGATTCGATAGCTTCTTCCTTGACCATCTCTTCGAAAACGTAGTCCTCGAGCCATCTTGGCGCACAGAAACTGGGCTGCCGGTAGCCGGATCGTCGCAAAAGCGCTTCCCAAGAAATGAAAGTGGCCGTTTCTCTTGCAGGTGAAGCTGATACCCGGAAAGGAGAAGTTCGAGACGACGTCGAAGAACGAGTCGTGGCCGCAGTGGAACGAGGAGTTCACGTTCCAGCTGCGCAAGGAGACCAAACTGAAGTTCGGCAAGACGAAGGTCACCGAGGAGGAGATCAGCGGCTCCAGACTGATTGTGGCCACGTTGTACGCGATACTCGAGGACAAGCCGTTGATAGCTACCGAGAAGAAGGAGGCGGAGAAGGACAAGGGCGGATCGCCGACGAAGGATTCGCCGAAGAAAGGCGGCAAGAAGAAGGACGGCCAAGGAGCGTCCACGGAGAACCAGGAACCGGCGAAGGAGAAGCTGCTGTGCAAATTGTTCGGCAAGAGTTCGGACAAGTCCGCGGACGCTGCGGTGCCGGACAAGAAGTCGTACGAGAAGAGGCGCACCGTTGGAGCGACGACCATATCCCTGGACCCGAAGAACTTCGCGTCGAAACCAGTGAAACCAAAGCACCCCAGCGATGTGTCGACGGGAGACATGTGGAGGCCGTTGCGGCCCATTGCGAGCGGGATTTCTGGCGCGGAGGACAGGGTGAGTGTGCCTAACGAGGAGGCTTTTATTGAGGAAGTCGAGGAGCACCCTCCAAGTGGGCCTCACGGTCCCCTATCGCTCTTCAATGGAATCAGACGCGGTTCCTGCGTGATTACAGGGGTCCGCTTGATCCGACTAGTAGGGGAGACCGGGCCAAAAATAGCCCAGAAAAGTTTCGAGGAAGATATATACTTGCTAAAAGGAGAGATACTACTGAAGAGAATTTAAATTATTGTTGAGCATGTTCGCTATATAATTCTGAAGAGACGCATTTAAAAACAAGTTTAAAGTAGTTTTGAAACTGTATATAAACAAACGGAGTAATTATCGGCTCCTTTTATCCCGCATATGGAATAAAGAGATTTCGCTATGGGGCAATGGGAGCCTGGAACGAAAACGGAATATAAGATTAGAAATTAAACAAATCAGTTAACTGATAATAAAACAAAAGATACTGATTTGTTTAACACGTTTATCAGTTTGTGAATAAGAACAACATTTTTAGGTAGTTACATATTATTATATTCTTTGAGGTTAACAAACTTTTGTTAAGAAATGTGAGGGCTTTAGGTTAAGTTACTGCACAGTTCGTTCACGCAATAACATGTTTAAATTAATCGACTAATGATAAACGCTTGAGATCCGCAATTTTATGAGAACAGAGTTGTAGGAGAGGCTTTTTAGGGGGAGGATCTTTACCTGTGCGTTCAGGATTTCTATAGATATTAATATTTTTATTAATAATCATGTAAAATGACCGAGAAATGTTTAAATTAATCGACTAATGATAAACATTTCTCGGTAATTTTACATGATTATTGCTAAAGATATCAATATCTATAGAAATCCTGAACGCATAGGTAAAGATTCTTCCCTAAAAAGCCTCCCCTAGGCTTCTGACTAAAATGATCATCGAACTTGCAATTAGATCGCAAATCTAGATCCGTGTCAGTCGTCAGCAGTCTCACAAATTTCAGACAATTTTTACAAGAAATTATTAGGAAGAGCATAGTAAATTATTACCACCACTCCGCCATTATAACCTCTACTTCAAATCCCATCGAATGAAACCGTTAACCGCCAAAGAAAGAATATTTAAGGGAATATTCGTTGACTATTCTTTTCAATTCGCAGAGGGAGAATAAGAAGGGTCAGCTGGAGCTGTCGCTGTGCCAGGAGAAGGCCGACAAGAGGGAGGAGGGTAGCGAGAAACTGGTCCTGTCTCTGCACCGTCTGCGATGCTCCTTGCAGACGATGCACGAGCACGAGGCCATTAAGGGGCAGATGTATCTAAAAATGTCCGTGGTGGACAACGGCAGGGTCACTCATTTCTGGAAGAGCGACCGGTTCGCGCCGTGCGTGTCGATGAAGTTCGACCCGGAGATGGCGCGAGTGATCGCCGACAACCCTTATCAGGGGGCGCTGAAAGACGTCAGCTTCGTAATCAAATACGTCTCGAAAAATAAGATGGGTAAGAGACGGAAACTAAATAAAAAATCGAGAAAGCGAACATGTAAAAATTGTCCGATCGTTTCAGGAAAGAAAACGACCGTCGGTCATTTCGTGATCGGGCCGGACGTGGCGGGGCCGTACGGCGAACAGTGGAAACAGGCCCTGGCGAAACCGGGACAGCAGATAACGAAGTGGCAGGCGTTCGAATGAGCACGTCGCGCGAACGGCTTTGAAACGGCGTGTGAAATATCCTCTTCTTTTTTTTAAGGGTGCCATCGAATGGTACCGTTCCAAAGAACGTTCACGAAAGACGGGCCCAGAACTTGCTCAGCTTTCGTCCGCACGGAAATTCACTGTTCGAGGCAGATCGCACGTATTAATGACTCGCACACGTTATCTTGTACATATTTATCGGATTCCTCTAGAATATTATAACCGTCCTCGATTCCTGGACGAAGGAGCGTTCTGCCAGGAACGCGATATCCCGGAAAACCGTCCAGTAAAAGTAAGTCGGCGTGTAACCAGCCGGAAGAAGCCGTATTTTATAGACTAAACAATGGTAAACTCGTGCCAGAAACCGTCGAAAGAATTTTTACTTTTGTATTTAACCGCGAGGTAACGAAGACTACACGCTTACAGCGCGGAATAGTTTCGACCAACGTTGACGACCGATTCTCGGCTGTTTCGTTCGGATTTTCTCGACATCCGTGTATTACACAGGATACATGCGAACGGGACCGCGTTCACGAATTATTGTAAGACGTACGATAGCGTTTTGTAAAGAATTATTTATACCGATGTAAGTACATGTATAGGCGTATTATGTAAAACCGACTGTAATCCAACGATTACTTCTTTAAGATCCACGCGATTACACCANTTTGAAACGGCGTGTGAAATATCCTCTTCTTTTTTTTAAGGGTGCCATCGAATGGTACCGTTCCAAAGAACGTTCACGAAAGACGGGCCCAGAACTTGCTCAGCTTTCGTCCGCACGGAAATTCACTGTTCGAGGCAGATCGCACGTATTAATGACTCGCACACGTTATCTTGTACATATTTATCGGATTCCTCTAGAATATTATAACCGTCCTCGATTCCTGGACGAAGGAGCGTTCTGCCAGGAACGCGATATCCCGGAAAACCGTCCAGTAAAAGTAAGTCGGCGTGTAACCAGCCGGAAGAAGCCGTATTTTATAGACTAAACAATGGTAAACTCGTGCCAGAAACCGTCGAAAGAATTTTTACTTTTGTATTTAACCGCGAGGTAACGAAGACTACACGCTTACAGCGCGGAATAGTTTCGACCAACGTTGACGACCGATTCTCGGCTGTTTCGTTCGGATTTTCTCGACATCCGTGTATTACACAGGATACATGCGAACGGGACCGCGTTCACGAATTATTGTAAGACGTACGATAGCGTTTTGTAAAGAATTATTTATACCGATGTAAGTACATGTATAGGCGTATTATGTAAAACCGACTGTAATCCAACGATTACTTCTTTAAGATCCACGCGATTACACCAAAAAAAAAAAGGAAGAACGAATATGTTATATTATTAACACACGTAATTATACAACAAAGATGCATATATATATATACATATATATTTTCTGAATCCGGTACACCCGTTGTTATATTGTAAGGATGATATTAACGTTTTTTACACCTTGTTTTCCATAGATCTTTATTTATCACTTTTATTGTACACATGTAACAGAACACATAAAGGAATGGTGCGTTTCTGTAATCAATGGTATGCTTTATTTGTGTGACGTTCGTTGAACGACACTCCATGGGAAAGTACATATAAAAATATAAAAAGCGTCGTGATCTTTATAATTAATATAGTCTGGACGGACTCATATATATAACGAAACAAGTGTGTACAGTGAACACCGTGGCGTTCGCCGTTTGTACTAAGCCATTCTAAACTGAAGAGTATGACACAAGCATATGTTTTCATGTCGATAAAAACAAACATCTTCTTGAAAAGGTAACGAATATACCTTTGGTCCCAAGGTAGAAAAGTGATATTGTATATACCGTTTAAAAAATCTCGCATAAATATCCTCTTAATTCGACTAAAACATTTCCCTAGCAAGGCACGAAAGGGTAGATTAAAAGTATATCGAGACACGGAATTTGATTTCAACGCGCCAACGTAGAAAAGCGATGTTGTATAATCGTTTAAAAAGTTCTCGTATAAATATCCTCTTAAATCGACTATAAAAAATTTTCCTAGCAAGACATAAAAAGGCACTTTTATGTATAGATTAAAAAAAACTGAGACACGCGTTTGTTTTCGAGCGGCGTCCAGCGGCCTGCATGTAGAATTTGCAGCCCCTGCCTCCGTAAGGTTCAGATCCTAAGAATTGTCAATTAAAAATACTCTCCTTAAGTAAGTACGAGCGGATCTCAATACTGCAAAGACGTTTGATCAAACTATGGACAGATTGGGTATCTCAGATCTAGTTATAAACTTTGGTAGAGTTCATTAAGTATAAACAAGTACGTATCGCATAGAGACTAAGGCAGCTATCAACGAGACAATTAGACTGCCGTGATTGTACGGTGCTGCGTTGCAGCCATCCTTGCTATTGCAAGTGCAATATTCCATGAATATGTTGTAAGTCCCGGTTCTCATGAGACAAAATCTCTCGTCACCCTCAATGCCTGGCTCTCCCATGTAAGCGCAACTACGAAAGTACCTCCATACCCCATTAACTAAGAACAACGATAAGATCCATCAAAAACACAAATGTCGGCGTCGCTGTACCTGCTGGAAAACTAATTAATTAGCACATTCACGTACCTTTCTGGCGAATCTTACGACACATAGTTGGTCTGACTCCTGGCAAGTGCTCAAGATCAGGTTCTTGTTTACAGTCGGTAATCGGCACTGTCGTATTGTCAAAGGGATCAGCGCATTTTGGATCTGAATCTGATCTACATACCCAGCACTTGATAGACAAACCTGTAAGTATTACGTAGTTCTATAAAATAATATTTAAGTAATTGCGAACAGAAATTTGAAACGGTGCGAGAATTAAAAGCATCGCGGGAGATTAAGACACCATTTTGAACTTGTTAAAATGATTAAGGGAGAAATTTAGGATTGATTGCTGCTTCTCTCTTGCAAATGCAAAGATCTCAAATTAAAAAATTTACAATCTAATGGAAACAAAATCTCGGAAAGCTGGAGTGATCGTGTACACTTGTTAATTTGTCAATGAAGCAGCACGTTTAAAGGAGCATTTAAACCAGGAAGTGCATCAAAACATTGTTTGAAGGTTATGATCTAAAGAGCGAAGGATCGATGCACTGATAAATAGTTACCTTGATGCACGCAGAAGAGGAGCAATAATACTGTCAGCAAGGCGCGAATACTATTTTCTTGAGCCATTTCAAAGAGGCGGGTGATCACTTAATGAGAACTGAAAATAACTCTTGTCAAGACACAACGTTAATTACTCCAACTACCCACGCCTACGACTGACCACGCCACTAACCGGACCGTTCCAGGGCCGGTTTCAACAACGTGTCCGGGGCACCAACAAATTCCTATCTAGCAAAAATACACTAGTTTCGGGTGACTTGAAACAATGAAACACCCTATATATGCTCGTATAAAATGTATGAGAAAACTTCTGTTCTACTTCGTTATGAAACAACAGTGACATTATTGCATTAATTCCCAAGCTACTTGGACCAATGATCAGATAAAAATAGAGAATCAGAGTACAATATTTTAACTTATATTTTTTAATCACATTTTGATCGAACTTTATCGCTTACTAATGTAAACTATCGTGTTAGGAACTGTCGGCAGATTTGTCGCTGATGAAAAATTGTCTAGATCTTTTCCAAATTAATCGAATAAAATCGTGATCATTTAGTACCATTATTCGTACGCTAGTGAGCCGTTCGTTCATCCTCGACAGCGATCGGTTCACGTGACCAAGTCACGAACGAAGACCGCGCCCGATCCGCAGCGCATTATTCGATAATCTGCACTCCGAATTCGATAGTTGCAATTCAAGTTGCGAAAGAATGCATCGTGCAAAGAGAAACAAGATATCGGTCTAACAAAATACGAACGGTGCAGAATTTATCTGAGCGACGCCGACGCCGACGCCGGCGGAGACGGTTTTATCGTTCCGATAATCAGTGCCGCAACGTGACGAATTAAATATAGCCGCGATTATTCTTATCTGATACTGGGAAAACATTGTAAAAATTAGATAAAGCGTTTACGCTACACGAATTTTCGATTTTATATTCTTTTACCGTGTTTCGTACATTATCGAACCAACTGCGGCTACATTTAGAAAAAACGACTTCGTTGTTTTATCTTTTACAGTGACCAAAAATACAATCATTTTGTATAACATTGCACCGTTCGTTTGTGCATCTATGAAAGCCATAAGTTACTCTTATTCGTTCGCGAAAAATTATGACAAAACGAAGCAAACCGAATTACAGATATTTGCGTGCATTTCTTATCGACTCGTGTGCAATTTTCCGGAGAACGATGCATTATAATTAGCCTGTCGATTTTGTGCATTTATGACAAGACTGGGTGACCGTAATTTTAAAGAGAAGAAAGGGTAAACGAGATGTGAAGCGTATCGATACTTTCAACCTACTATAATGATTAAAGAAAAGAAAAAGTTCCAAAGCGACTCGGCGATTCTTGCAAGAAATTTTTACTTTGCACAAAAATCAAATTATAATATAATTCTGTGAACTGTATTAAATCGAAGTTGACTTGCAATTATTGCGTCGCAAATGGAGATGATTTGGTAGAAAATTCCTCGGTGAGCTACTCGAACAAAGAATAAAACGAGAAGCAGGAGTTCGTTCTCGGTTTCAATTGTCGGATAGCCTAAGGGGTTGCAGGTACCGCGTTAAAAAGGCAGATTAAAAATCAGAGCAGCGTGAAGGAAAAACGACCGGCAAGTCGGATACCCGATAAAAGGTAGCCTTCGAACAGTTCTGGATCGGTTGGCGCGTTGAATCAGGTTGAAAGACGCGCCTGGGCCCCGACTGGACCGGGCATTGTGCCGATTTTTGCCTCGGTTGCGAAGCGGGGCCCCACGGATCCCGTGGCCCGCAGCAGAATCGATTCGCTTTTACGGGTGGTCCGTGACCGGAACGAGGCGTAGCCAGGTCCCGAGGAAACATTTGAATGCTATAAATAAATATAAATAAATTGATTTGCCGGCATTAGCATAAGTAGCTGGGAGAGCCCTCGGCTTGCCGCGTCTTGCGGCTCGCGTCTCTTTTGCCGTCTGCCTCCCTCGTTCTCTCCCCTCTCTCTCTCTCCCTCTCTCTCTCTCTCCTCTCTCTCTACAGTTCTCTCGGTCGCTCTCGCGAGACCAGACGTTGATTTATACCCGATGTCCCTTAGGTTCCTGCGGCATTCGCCGTCCCTTTAACTTAAAAGGACACGGAGCTACGATCGGGACGCGCGTCCGTCTCGTCTCTCGCGGTTGTACGCGTGGGAATTAATTCCGAAACCATGAGATTCTTCCTCCCCTACCCTCTCCCCCGCCCCCCACCACCCCTCGGAATGGCACTGTTTAAATGACGCGATAAGAACCTCTCGACGTACGTGTCGAGACTTAACGCACTACTTACGCTCGCGAACGTCCCGAATAAATCAACTTCTTGACTGCGGACGGGGCCGCTGATCGTTAAACAATTCGCCCGGAGTCGAACGATGGCCCGCATGTCTCTATTCCGAATGCTACAGTTTCTAAAAGCAAAAATTGCCACGCCGTATCCGCGGACTACGGGCTTGCTCGTTCGATCTTCGTCGCAAACGCCAACAGTCTTGAATAAATCAGCCTCTCAACTGGACGCATCGTTGAACAACTTGTTGCTTGCTAATCGCAACCAATTATTATTAGTTGCAGAAACGAGTTCTTCACGGCGAAGTTCGCACGGTTAGGTCACTCGTGGCGATCGCGAATATTTCCACGATCGAGCTGGTATATTTTCTTTTTTAACGCTTTAACTGCCGCGCCGTTCTGCCGGCAAAATTGGTGCTCATCTTTTTTAGCATGGCATTAGATTTATTAGAAATAAATCGAAATTGATTCAAGAGTGTTGCAGATGCAATTTCTACAGTAATTCTTGTCCCTTTTATTGCTACAATATGAAATAAGTTGTTCCGATTTCGGGCGATTTTTGGGGACATTTTTGTGGCAATCGATGTGTTGACGAATATTTCATTTCACCGAGAAATCATGAAGAATTCTGTTTTATACCTAATAATTACCGTTAATGTTCCCAAAAGTAGAATAATAGCAGCTTGCAAGAGATAAGGACCGTCGAAGTCTTCTTCGCTCGTGATCGCAACAGTTCCGAATATAAATCCTCCCTAATTGACGCTCAGATTGTGCACAAAAATAGACAATTTGGGAAGAGGAGATACGATTATTCGAGCCTCGTAGCTCGTTTTTATAGTTACCGATTGTTAAAAACTACAAAAACGAGCCGAAAGCCTCGGATAATCGCATCTCCTCTTTCCAAATAGTCCAATTTGAGCGTCAATTATGGAGAATTTACAGTAAATCCTCTGAACCAGACGCGCCATTAAGCAATTTGCTCCGAATCTAAGCGTGCGATGCACAAGTTCGCTTCAACAGATCTATTTCTGATGCAAAATTTCCCGAAAGCCTAATCGACAAGGTTTGCGAAAGGTGAAGGTCTCGCGAAACAAAACTCCCGAATAAATCAGCCGCTCAACCAGACGCGTCATCGAACAATCAGCTTCGGATCGGACGGTGGGCCGCGCGTTAACAAATCTATTTCGGCCGCGAGAGTTCCTGGAAGCAGAATTTACGATGGAAACGCCGGCTCCTTCGAAATGAACGGCCTTAACAGCCCCGCTCTCGGCTCGATCATTTCCCTAAAAAATCTGGTAATTTCGTGTAATCTTCTCGGAGGGCTGGGCGTGGCGGACCGCAGGGGGATACCGCGCCGGGGACCGGCGTGTGTCATTAACCGAATCCACCAAACGACCGTGTCCTTCCTTTCTCCACGGTCGGGACGGTACCTGTGTTACGTGGCCGCGTTAAGGATCATCTTCTTGCGCAAAAATTGATATACCAAACGAGCCCGGCACCCTGCGCCGATTGCCCCCAAGTGAAACGTTAAAAGCTACGACAGCGATCGTTTCACGGCCATTTCTTGGCCGCTCGTTTCCTCGTTCGTTAGCGAATACGGTAAATTCTCTCAAATTTGTCCTCAGCTTGTGAAGAAAAAGTGAACGATTTGGGAAGCGGTGATGCGATTATTCGAGCCTCGCGGCACGTTTTTGCGCGAGGTGTCCCGAAAGTTACTCAAAATCGTGAAATAAGAGGTTCCTCGGGTCATTTGAAGTAACTTTTTCCTTAGCGCGAATGCGATCCGCGGCTTCGTTTACGAGTTATTGACGAAAAGCGTGGGCCAATCGGAGAGCGAGCGCGGCCGGCGCTCCGCCCCTGCGGCCAATACCGCTGCGCGTCTGCCGTCTGACGCAGCGGCAGTGGTCTCGAGGGCGGGGCGTCAGCCGCACGCGATCTCTCATTGGTCTGTGTTTTCCGCCAATAACTCGTAAACGAAACCGCGGATCGCATTTTCGCTAAGGAAAAAGTTACTTCGAATTACCTCGGGAAACCATAATTTCCCGATTTTGAGCAATTTTTGGAACACTCTGTAATTGCCGATTGCCTATTAAAAAACGAGCCGCGAGGCTCGAACAATCGTGTCGCCTCTTCCCACGTTGTCCGTGTTTGTTTACAAGCAGAGAGACGATTCGAGATAATTCGCCGCAATGAATTTTTACGATCGACTTTGACGATCCGCTCGATGCAGCGTCGTCATCGTATCGTCTATTTCTGCGCGCATCGTCACGGTGCCATCCACTTTTGTCGTCGCGAGTGTCTCATTGCAATTTCATAAGAGCCGCGACCTATATCCTGGGGAGCACCAGCGGGCAAACACGCCGCGGGGAGAAACGATTCTCCTTGTGCGGACACTCCTAAAACGCTAACAAGCAGGATCGTCCAGTGACAAGCACGGCCGGACCATTGAGATAAATCGACCATTGTTAATATCGCAGGATCGAAACGCGGCAGAGAGCTCCGTGACCCGTTCGGCTTGTTGCCGATGTCGCAAAACGGTACTTAAATTACAATTTGCATTTAAAACTGTGTGTACAGATCTGAAAGTTGTTTGCCTGGGTTTGCCGCGTTAGTTGTATACTTCGAAGGACAGAGGCGAGTTTGTTGCCACTGTTCCAATATTGGAGAACATAACATGTATGAAACGTAACCACGGTACACGATCGCAATAGCCCGCGTGCATATACGATTTTAATTTATGTAAAGTGCGCGATCGATCGTGTCCGTCATTTTGGCAGAACTCGGCGAGGTGTGGCTAAATTATCCTGTTTTATCCTGATTATCACAGGCTGATAAGAAATCTCTCCGGGTTATTTTTACGACTTCTGAAAAATTGCAAATGGA